GATTGAATATTGATTTGTCAAGTGACTCGGTGCAGGACAGAAAAGTACAAGCCCACATCAATTACAGCTATTTAGAATCTTACTGGTATTTAATGAAGCCATTAAAAGGATTCTGAAAAGCTTTTTCTTCATCATACCATTATGCAAGTTATTGAAAGTTGTTGCATAAAAATTTCCTGAAAAGCATTTGTCTGGAATGGGAAATCCATAACCTGCAGAATAGGTGTCCTGCCAATCTCGGTCGCCATAAAGGGAGTGAGTACCAGACAATTTCCTGTCATCTCTCGGAAATCGCGAGTATTCATGCGCTTTTAATAAGGGCCTTAGACTGATCAATCGTTGATGTAAATGTTCAAATGTAGATATAATTTAAAAAATCGTCCCCTGGTCCTGTCTGATTGGTTTTTCAAAAAAAACCTGGTGTGTCGTTAATTTTAAAATTATAGACATAAATCTTGTGCACTAGCTCTGTCATTAAAGTCTGTTATGTATTCTGGGGTAAAATTGAGATGATTATATTGAAAAAGATGACATTATTGTCTGGAAAAATAAATTTCTAAAGATAGCAATCATTGAATGTTTGGAGGGAAGTGGGGACCTGCTGGGATGGTTTGACAGTATTGTACTGTAGCGAGGTGTATGTACACAGAGGCAACCCGCCACTAAAGATAACACCACAACACCACGTGGTGGGTCCCCAGCCCAGGCCAGTAATACCTGATATAATGACAATAAACAGATCTATGTAATAATTCCCTTCATCTCGTGGAATTCAGAGGTTTGCTAATTAGGTATTAGTCACTCTTATCGTATTCTGCAGAGCTAACGTTGTGTTGGAGATTATTTTGGAATCAGTCCTGTTTTCTTACATGAAATGATCTGCTAATTGCAGGCTCGTAGCCCAAATCTTACATCTCCTGACATTAATGTCTGCAGTTGGTGAGTTTGAACAACTTGTAAATCCAGGAATGGCCATTATATATATAAATCAAGGTCAGATTAGAGGCATGTGGCTCGTATCAAGGGTCTACCAAAAAATGTAAACCATGCTAAAAACGTGGAAATGGAACAGAATTGTTTTGGCAGGAAGGACAATATAAGCCCAGCTCAACATCAGATCAGCTTACATGTAGAAAGGTAGAAATGAGAGGAGACTAGTGAAGTCAGAAAATTATATACATTTTTTTTCTTGTTTTAGGTGAATGGAGTAGATGTGAGAAGCAGGGACCAAGCCATTCAGCTATTCTCAGAAAGAGGCTCGGAAATCAAGCTTCTGCTGGCCCGTCCACAATTACAGGTAAATGTTGTCACTATCACAGAGAAACAAAGGAACAGGCTTCTTCTCTGATGTCTCAGTAGTAACTTAACTAAGCCCTGGGAAATAGGAAATAGATGTCACATGTCTAGCAGTAAAGGGAGGAAACTCTATTATCTCTGAAGGTCATACATTCTCTTCTCTGGCCAAGGGTTTTCATCATGGGGAGTACAATGGTCCAAATACCCTGCATGACTATAGTGAAGATGTGTATCATTAGAATAATTTATAAAATTGACAATTCAACACTTGTCAGAGTGCATACATGTTAAAAATTAAATATTTTACACTAACATACAAAGTTCTTTCACACACGTAATTTTATACCCTCTCAAGTCCTCATACAATGTAAGGGCTGCTGAATACTACCAGGGGTTCACAGCTTTGATATTGTATTGGGTTGCAACTTTGCCATTTTCTGTCAAATTATAATTTAAAGGTGTTGTGTCAGAATTGACAAAGACTAGGGGGAGTCATGGGGAGGGTTAATGGCCCACTCAAGGAGGCAGGGTACTCCACCGAATACACAGGACCTCAATTAATTATCAGGTTTATAGGTTCTTTTGTGAGGTCTTATAAAGTTTTGAGAAATGTTGACACAAGTCGTTGAGGCAATGTAGAATCATTGTCAGCCGACTTCTGGGTAAGGAATCGGGTCGTATGATCAAGGTGCTCACATTTCTGTGGAGTAAATCCTGGCTTAATCCCACAGTCAGGTGATCAGACATGTTGTTTGTTTAGCTTCGACATAAACAGTTGTTCCCAATGTCTTTTCATGTTGGATTGTCTGAAAATCAGTGAAGTTCGGGGTTGTCGTGTTTAGTATAGATCTGGGTCATGAATCCTAACCTGTGTCTGTTCTGTTTAGAGTCCCTCACAGTTAATCGCTATCGACTGTCATGCTGCGATTTCAAGTGACGGAAGATCAGGTGTGGATCAGACAAAAAACAGATCACAGGTGATCTTACCCTAAAAAGGCTTAACATATCCGAATATTGGGGTGTATTGTCATTAAACACCTGTGGCATGGGGAGGGGGAAATTAAGTTTCACAGGAAAACGGAGTTGTTTTATTTGAAAGTTTTCCTTTAAGCATGATAAGTAGCATAGTATTAACAAGCAGAAATTCTGTGGTTTAGAAATATAATTTTTGGACTTTTAAATGTAGTTATGGTATTTAAAATTAATTTTCTTAGGCCATTCTAATTAATGGTTAAATTTTCAAAGATCCCAAGTCAGCTGATCACTGACAGACAGACAGACATATGTGCAGCGTGTTGCTTACTCACAGAACAGGCTTCAAAACCAGGTGCCCTCAAATATGCCAAGAAATGCCTTCTTATCAGGGAACATTTTTTTTTAATGATTTTAAGAAGTACTTAGATATCTGGATTAGAGGCCCTGTGACAAATAACCATTTAACCAGATGCAGGTGTTTTGGTCATAAATTAAGTTAAGGAGGATATTTCTCATCTCCACTAACAAATGGGGAGAAAACACCTTATAAAAAATAAATTCCTCTCTCTGACAGAAGAACAGCTCGTAGTTCTGGTTCACAGGCTGTGTTTTTTATGCTGTAGATATAATTAGGGCAGTGTGACCTGATTCTGACGTGGTAGTTATGTTTTTATAAATCAGTGTTAGTGGCCCCCCCTAATGAGAGGGGGAGGCGGAGATGTGTGGCCCCCACATCAACTGCTGACATCGGCTAAACATTACCCCCTGACCTTAGTGTTTGCTCTGCCTTTGAGGCGGGACATCTGCTGGGATACACTAGTGATTTATAAACTGTTCTGAGCTTGGCTCTGATTCATTTGCTAGCCTTCTAATGATGTTTGTAAGAATCCCATTTTTTTTGTGAAGGATAAAAGAAATATGTTAATATAATGTGAAATTGTCAGTTATGTATGGAACTCCTTTCAGTGAAGTTTGGTTGACCTTCAGAAAAAGAGTATAATGTATAAAATCCAACTTAATGGCGAATTAGTTCTTTGCACTTGTTTGCCCTTTTGATGATTTCGACCACAAAACCTCAGCATCTTCACGGACAATTAACACTTCACAAACACATTTCTGTTAGCACAGCTGACCTCTATAACCCGAGATCAAAGGCCGAGGTCTATCATCTAATTACACTACAATGTGTGGACATGCACATTATGATTTCTTCTGCACACCTCGTACATTCTTCTGTTAAACATTATCTGTCTGTTTTCTTTTCCTTGCTGGGCATTTCTTACCTCTGAACGAGCCTGGTTTAATGTTCAGAGAAAATAGATGAACAGACTAAAACTGGTGAAAAACACACAAAGTCAGAGATAAAAGAGAGCAGCCCTGATATTGAAAACAAACTCAGTGGTCTGCCATTGTGGTTTTTCTGTTGTTTCCTTCAGAGGAACAACACCAGAGAGTCCCTGTGTAATTTGTCTCTGGGTCGTTTGATGTGCCAGGTATAATTAATAAACCTGAGAGTTTTGAAAAGTATATTACAATCAGGGCAGACCTGTGTCGCCAGCTGATGTCATCATTTCTAATTATAGTTCATAAACAAAAACAACGGCTCAGGTACACCAGGTCAAGGGAGGTCAGTCTGACCTGAATGCATCCACTTACTACCCACACATTAATAAGTGGATGGATTTGTTTTCTATTATTTTGATTATTTTCAAAGCAAGTGCTTTTTTTATCTTACTTATTTTTGAAACGTACAATATCAGTTTTCCATCTGCTTCATTTAAATAAAAACACTTTGTTTCAAATCAAATTTAGAAAAAACATTTTTTTAATCAGGATGATAAATCAAATTTAGAAATAATATTTTTTTAATCAGGATGATAAAACATAAAATTAACACCATTTGTTGTCACAATGTCATTGATTTGTGATGGGGTTTTAATATAGCCACTTTAATAAGCCTTTTTTCTCCTAAAGTGCAAGTTTTTATCAAGCTAATTAATCATTATAACTACAGTTATGAGGATCAGAAGAGCTATAAAATTTCTCCCTATACCACTCATTTACTGTTGAAAATAAAAAAAGAAATTGAACAACATTAATATGGAAAGCTGTTTCATGTAGAAGATCAAAGAGATGTGAGATATGCTTGGCCTGTCATTCTGAGCCAGATGGGACACTGTTACAAATGACACTGTCTGCACGGTAACAGTTTGTTGGGGGTCTGTTTTAGTTTCCAGTCAGCACCATATTTTCCTTGTTAACCTGCTAATTTTGTCATAATCATAGTAAAGCACCTTTCAGTTAGACGCCCATTCTCAGCAATAAGGTGCAATTCATGTCGTTTCCTTGTTACTCGGTATTTAATAATATAAGAATTTTTTTCAGCACGAGCAAGTAAATGTAGGTTATGGTTCGTTAACATCCACAAAAATTAGCAAAATCGGGAAAAGTCTTCCGAGATAAAAACGTCTCTGAATTTATGAAAACAATACATACGTTACTGTCGCCAAATCCTTATTTCAAAAATAAAACATAATTGAAAAACTCAAATCTAATAAACATGTATTTTTATGCACAGAAATTTAATGCACACCCTATGAGAGTAAAAAATAATTATAAAAGTAAATCCTATATGACATGTAAATGGCAATTTTTTTGCAGCATGTCATTGTCGCCCAGTTCTTTGATACCTACGTAACGCCATCATATAACTGAGCTTGTAAATTATGTTTATGCAAATATATTTTCATTTTCAAGCAAATCAAACAGTAGACACCTTTTACTATCTTGTAAAATTCATCTGATATTTACTTTCCTTGAAATATTTTCAAACGACTTATATGCATTATAAAACTTCTTCGTTTGTATTTTCGCAAATACATACGTTACACATCTTTCTAAAAGTATATAAATGTGCTAGGCCCTATTAATGGTGCTTATTTGAGTAGGAAATGGTTCATATTTTTTATTGCATACACATTTTTAAATCATTCTCAACATTTGAAAATTGTACAGAGTATTAACCTACCGGAATTTACATACGTTACCAATACTTACGTTACTGAAAGAATATTACGCATATTCTTGTATCACGTGTTTTCCACATGATGTACCTCATTACTTGATGTTTAAAGTAAGAAAATCATGGTTGTAAATACAGATATGCAATAAATATCAATGTAGTACATGCATATCAGTAAATCTTAAAGAGCTTCGAAATTTTCGGATACCTACATAACATTCGGTAACGTTGGTATTAACTAAGTCTTAATTTTTCATATCTTTTTTTTTAACTAAAAAAATTAAGGTTTTTATAATGGCAGGAGTTATGTTGACAGTAAGTTTACCATTTTGAATTATAGTTAATCTCGTAAACTTTATTTTCTATATACCTAATACTCTTTTTAATCACAACAAAATCTTTGATCTATTCAGTACTTCTTTGTTTATAAATTTCCCCTAGTTTATTTCAATAGATGACCAAATTTGTTGATAATGGTACAAACACAATTTGATAGTTCTATACCTTGAAAAATAAACACAAAAATTGCCAGATTTTAAACTTTAGCCCAACAAATCATATTAAATCTTTTGTCATAGCTAGTAACGTATGTAAAGATTTTACGTTACCACAATAACGTTATATTTTATCATTTGTTTTCATATTCTGATTCAGTTATAGTCTGGATTTTCAAAATGATATGTAAAATTATCCATATGAAGTATTCAAACAGTGTAATCTAATTACGGCTGATAGTTACCAAATTACCTTATTATATAATACTTACGTTACTTTAGACGTAAACAAATCTGAGACCGTATATTATTCTTTAAAAATATTATAATTCAGATTGTTTTTAAATTTATTGATTTTTCCATCGTCCACTTATTTCAATTTGATACAGGTCATGTTTTTCATGAAGGCAATTAGAAGTAATAAGTAACGTAACATACTACATTATTCAGTAATTATTAAAAGTGTTCTTCAGTTGTTCTAAAAAAGAGGTTTATTGACTCTTGTGCCTTACAAAGTACGGATTATTTGCCCTTGCATCGAATAAAAATTATAAACTTGCATATAAATGTTTTCTAAAGTAGTCAAAATGCCTTAGTCATTGAATTTCCTAAATCAATATACACAGTAACGTATATATTGGGGTGATTTGAAAGAAAAAATACCATGTATTTCAATTTGTCATAATTTTGTCATCAACAAATTGGTGTTATGGATATTTTACCATATAAATCAGAATTATCTGGAGAAAACTTTGCAGGAAAAAAATTGAGCGTATACTCAAGTTGAATTTTACGTCTCTGATATACCGTAATTGCACATTATTACTGAGAATGGGCGTAGAGTCATTTGAGTTTTCACAAGGTATTTCAGTAGAGTAATGATTGCTCTTCTTATATTGTTTATTGTTGGATGTAAGCAGAAAAATTCAAAGTCTCAAATCTTTTTAATTCATATTTGACACATAACATGGAATTAAGGTGGTGTGTTTAATTGGTTCTGGCTGGTGACCATTGAATGATCTCCCTTTTTTAGCTGGATGATGGTTTTATGGAGGACCAGAATGTGACCTTGGATGACCTTCACATGGACATTCTGGAGAAACATCACCGTGACAACATGCAAATCATGGCCTCCATGTTAGCTCGGGTAGGTCCTGCATGGATATCGTACATCCCAGAAGGCTTTGTGTTACCCTGTATAGTCTGTAGTCCCTGTGTGTTGTATTCTTGTGTTGTATTCTCATATATAAACTAGTGCATGTTCCAGATAGGTAGACATCATATATTATAGTATCACAATAATATGCTTATATCTATAGAGCATGATTTAGTTCAATATAATACAAATATAGCCTGCAGCTTTGACAACTGTGTATTATAAAGTGTATTTTTAAAAAAAAAAAAAAGAAAAGATGCTTGCTAAACTTTAATACAGAAAGTATATTCAAATTTGCATATAATAACTAAATATTGCTTTTGTAAACTAGAAGTTCCTGATACCTTGTATTTCGTGTTCTAAGTGATATGAAACAGAATTTTATTTCTATGATATAAAGACTTGCTGAGTCATTCTGTTGTGACTAACTTTAGAATTCAGAGAGTTTCCCCTACATTAATAAACCCCATCATTTAGCCGTTAATAAACCCAATCATTTAACGTAATTGTTAATCAGCGTCTCGTTATTGTGATGTCACTCCTGTGTATTGATTTTATCATATTGTAAATCACATCAAAGAAAAACAGATGACACAGAACTAAAATCATCAAAAGTTCAATTTCTAAGAGGTGTTATGAATCATGCTCTCATTAAAATGAGTTTTTAATGAAACAAAAAAGTGCCCAAACAAAGGAAAGTAAAAACTGAAGCCCATAGGGACAGCCCTGGGGCAGCTAGTCGTCTTTAGATGTGTGCAGTTTGCAGTGTTGTGAAAAATGTGCTATAAGGTCACAAGTAGCCTCCTAGGACTACAAGTATAACAAATGACTGCATGGTATTATGAACAGGTTTGTCTATTGTCTACAGTGGGGTGTTTTTTTATTCCAACCTTTTGTCGTGTTTTTCGCTCTTTGATCTGACAACAGCTGGGAGTACACCTCGTTATCTTTGTGTAATTATTACAGAACTCTCTATACGTTTTAATTATTCACCAGTCTAAGGAAGAGTGATAGCGCTAACTGTGTTTTATTTCACTGTTTCTGTAAGCTTATTTGTTACAGTCATATAATAATTTGTTATGATGACAGCCAAGTGTTGTTCATATGAAGCTGCGTGTTAATTTTAGATGACGAGATATATTACTTAAGCCCTTCACTGAAACTAATCCTTAAAACATGGAGTTCTGTTACCACATCAACTCGCAATCAATAAGATAAAAAAGCAATTTCTAATGCTTCAGGTGTTGTAAGTTTCATTGAAGTGAGTTAGGGGACTTGTGGACTCGCGAGATCAATATCTTCTCACATATTACAGCTCAGCGTAAGACACCAGAACTGTCTTGTAGTTGTACAGACTATTATACTGACGTGAGGCGTTTCTTGATTGTCCAGTGAGGTTAATCCACTCTTTATTTCTACAGGGTCACATGGAGGAGGAAGGGGAACAACTGATACCAAACATGAGAAAGACAGCGGCGTGGGGCGAACGGATGAAAGTACGAGGAACGATGAGAGCTCGGAGCAGGTCGGTATCTATATGTCGAATGTCATCATGCATATATACTGTATATATAAGCAAAAATTTTAGTGAGGATTTAATTTTGGCATTATTAGTGAGGATGTTTAGGTCGCTTACACTAAATATTCATAAAATTTCATTTGTAATAGCTTCTGTAGTGAGCATTTTGAATTAACTAAAATTACATCTTACAAACAAAAGAATGCCAATCTTTAAGGACAAATTTCGCTTCGCTAATATTTTCACTTCACAGTATATGCTGATCATTACTGTACAATGCATTGCATTTGGTTTTACATATTTGTGACTGATATTTATAATAACTAATCAAATTATTAAATCTGGAAAAAAAGTTTTGTTTCAAAATACAGATAGAAAAACCTTTTCATCTCCCCGTGTGACCGATAAATAAGGTCTTTTCATCAGTGTTTCTTTTTGATTCTTTGAATTTAATCATCTTTCCCTTTCATCTGCACATCTTATCAGGGAATCAGGAATATTGATCTCTAAAGGGAGGCTACATAGACAGACTAATGAAGGGTGAATTGGGGTGTTTACTGATGGATGGTACTTCTAGGGAGGCAACAAAATATCAGCCACCTGCCTAAAAATTCATCTCATCTGTTATGATTGAAAATTATCAAGCCATTCTGTCAACTTCATTGATTATTACGATGGAGTCATATCAAAAACATAGTTTAAATTATTGACTGTATTTTTTTGTTTTAAGAAAGAACTGTTTATGGGGGGGGGGGGGTCCTATAATTCTGATGGGGAAACTGAATCTTTTATACGTGTGAAAAACACAGGAGAAAGTGATGCAGCACTTGATGAAATTATCAACAATAAGATACTTTATCAATGGATTATGGCGTTTATAAGGGTTTGGGATTATTTATCTATAAGATCCCCCTTTCATGTTAGTTGTATCTTTATTAAGGTACAATTAAAGACTTGAAGCCCTTCCAGGGTTGGTTTATGTCCCGCCAGGCCGATTCAGTGGGGGGCAGAGTTTACACACCAACAACAGGCTTATCAGGGGAATACACTGTAGTGCATACAAAAACCAACCCAATACTTAACTAAATGTAATTTCTCTGAATCTGTTATCAGTGGAGAGAAATGGTTTTCTTTCCTTGAAATATTCCATTTTTCAATTCCTTTGATCTTTTGGTTTTCGGTCGTTTGATCTGGGAGTA